CCATCAGACCCCAGGGAATCATGAATCATGCATTTATGGATTGGCTGACTGCAGCATTCTGTGTGGTACGGCCTGATCAGGGTGATTTTCCATACTTCTGCACTAGCTGACAGACATATGCAGAGCTCCAGCAGGTTTTACAGGAGTTGGGCATGAAAAATATCATCTACAATATGGACCTTCAGGACCCTGATGAGGAGTTGTTCACCGTGGGGATGAGAAATCTGGTGCTCCATGCAGCTCCCGAAACCTTCTTTGGGTCCCTAGTGACTATTCTTGTCCCCACATAGGGCAACCCATATGTGAGGTTACTTGTACAATAGCAGTTCTGGGGGAGGTTGAAACAATAAAGGCACAAAAGGAGATACAATCTGCTACTGAGAGAATAGGTTCAAATAGCTCTGTGAAGGTCTCAAGGACCCAGATGTTGGTTGATTTGATAAAGGCAGGGGCAGTGAAAGAAAAACTTGATGGACAACCCAATAGAATCTTAGTAAAGCTATGGCAACAATTAAAGCCAGAACAATGGTTCCAGCCACTGAGGTCCAAGACAGAGAAACCAGAGGCAAAGTCCCATGTCTGGCTGTGTGTCTGCAGGACTTCCTGGGGGACAGTACTCAGACCCAGCCTGGGACCCTGCCTCCACAGAAAGGCAATTGGGCATTTGACTGGGGGTGGGAATCAAGGTCCCCACCTTAGGGGACATGGTGTGGACTGGAGACCACATATAAATTAGCAATTCATTGGTCTCCAGTGAACGCACATGTCCTGGCACTGCTGGACACAGAAGCTGAATGCTTTCTGATTTATGCAACCCTAAGTGGTTTCCTAGGACCCCCACTGTGATAGATGGCTACAGGAGTAAGGCAATTAGAGTGAAGAAAGCCCAAAGCCCATTGGGGATAGGTCATCTAACCCCCCAAAGTAGTATACCATGTATATTTCTCCCATTACAGAATATATTTTTGGGGTGGGGATTCTGCAGGACCTGTGGTTACAGACCACTGTGGGTGAGTTCAGACTGAGGGTATATGTGATAAAGGCAGTTCTAAGTGGACATGCTAAGCACCTACCTATAGCTCTGCCTGTACTTCAGCAGGTGACAAATATTAAGCAATATAAATTGCCTGAGGGACACAAAGAAAGTGGAGAAACCCTCCAGGAACTGGAGAAGGTGGGCATCATAAAGCCCACTCACAGTCCTTTTAATTCCCTGGGGTGGCCAGTGAAAAAGCTGATGGCTCCTGGTATATGACCGTGGATTACAGAGAATTGAATAAAGTCACACCTCCTCTGCATGCTGCTGTCCCCTCAACAGCAGTCATTATGGACACCCTAAGCCATGAAGAAAGGACATATCATGTTGTGGACCTTGCTAATGCTTTCTTCTCTATTGACATAGCACAGGAAAGTTAGGGACAGCTTGCCTTCACATGGGAAGGCTGGCAGTGGATGTTCACTGTCCTCCCACAGGGATACCTCCACAGTCCCACTTGTCAAGGACTTGTAGCTCAGGACTTGGCAGCATGGGAGAAACTGCCAAGGTGTGGCTATTACCATTATACTGATGATATTATGCTCACTTCTGATTCTCTTGCAGATTCAGAAGGGTCAGTTCCTAGACTGTTGCAAAATCTACAGGAGAAAGAATGGGCTGTGAACAGCACCAGGGGTCAGGGACTTGGCTTGTCAGTAAAGTTCTTGGGGGTTATCTGGTCAGTAAGACTAAAGTTATCCTGGAAGCAGTCATAGGTAAAGTCCAGGCTTTCCCTATCCCTACAACTGTGGCAGTATTACAAGAGTTTTGGGGTCTTTGGGGCTACTGGAGAGTGTTTATCCTGCACTTGGCACAAATTCTAAGGCCCTTATACTGGCTGGTACAAAAGAGCATCAGGTGGGACTGGGATGAAATATGTGCATCTGCCTTTACTACTGGCTAAGCAAGCAGTCAAGGCCATGTAGTCCTTGAGTGTAATAGACAATAGACCCATCAAGACCCTGTGAGCTAGATGTTCATGTAACCAAAGATGGTTATGGATGGGGCCTCTGGCAGTGGCTTGAATGGACCCACCAACCTATTGGCTTCTGGTCACAACTGTGGAAAGGAGCAGAGGTCCGGTACACCTTGATAGAGAAGCAACTGCCTGCTGTATACCATACCTTGCTGGCTACAGAGCCCATCACTGGAATAGCTCTGACTGAGGTAATAACCACCTATCCCATCACAGGGTGGGTGCGAGACTGGACCCAAAGGGCATGGAGTCACTTGGCACAGATGCCTACACTGGCCAAATGGGGCACATATTTTCAGAAGCGTAGCACCCTCTCCACTAGTCCCTTAAGTGGAGAACTCCAACACGTAGTGGTGCCAGTAACATACACTAGTGCAAATCAGGAAGAATTGCTTTGGGGCCATTAGTAACAGAGAGCCCTTTAATAGGAGGGAACATCCCCTATATCTGAAGATGAATGGTATACTGACAGTTCTAGTTGTGGGCAGCTGCCTAAGTGGAGGGCTGTGGCTTTCTATTATAAGACTGAGACAATATGGGTGAAGTATGGAGAGAGGAAGAGCAGTCAATGAGCTGCAGACACTATGACTCATGATCACCCAGGAGCCCTCCCCAATTGTTGTCTGCATAGACAGCTGGGCTGTCTATCAGGGTTTGATCTTGTGGCTATCAACATGGTACCATGTCAACTGGATGGTTGGTCACCAGCCCTTTTGGGGGCAAGAGTTATGACAAGACCTATGGGCCCATGGTCAGACTAAGACAGCTACCATATATCATGTGACTGGCCATTTGCCTTTGGCATCCCCAGGGAATGATGGAGCAGACACTGCTGCCCAGGTGTGATGCCTAGAAGGAAAGCCTGCCTCTGAAGTGGCCCAATGGTTATAGCAATATTTGTTGTATGCAGGACAAAAGACAATGTGGGTTGTAGCCTGTCAGTGGGGCTTCCTGTTGACCTTTGAAGAAGTCAGCAGAGCCCAGCAGGAATGCATTGTGTGCTCTAAGAAGGACTTATACCAAGTCTTGCAACAATATGAGAATATAGTTAAGGGGCCAGTACTCTTTGTCAGGTGGCAGATAGGCTACATTGGACCTCTGCCTATATCAGAAGGGTATCAAAATGCCATGACTTGTGTGGACACAGCTACTGGACTGTTGGTTGCTTTTCCTGCATGTTGTGCAGATCAGCAAAAAGCCAAAAGGGGCGTAGAGCATCTCTTTGCAGGCTGTGGCTGACTACAGGTGATTGAAAGTGATCAAGACACCCACTTTACTGGACAGGTTTTACATGAAAAGGTGCAGCAATTAGGGATAAGATAGAAGTTTCATGTAGCGTATAACCCTACTGGAGCAGGCATGATAGCTACAACGGTTTGTTGAAATCTGGCCTTAAGTCAGACACCAATAGTCTACATGGCTGGTCAGTTTATTTATGGCCAGTGCTACAGTGTTTGAATGAGAAGCCTTGGAAGGGAACATTGGGCCCTGTGGACATGCTTGCTGCTACTCCTACGCAACTGTTCATGCAAACAAGGAAGAATTATTGATGCTGGAATTTGGCCAGCAGAGGAATATCCTGCTGCCAGCACCAAACACACTACACCCTAGAGACTCTGTTGAGTGGACATGGCCCTGGACATTTTAACATGTGGACCAACGATGGCTGGCCCTTCTGGCTCCTTGGAGACAAGGCCTGGAAGCTGGTCTCCTGTGTGTTCCTGGAGTAACAGCAGTGGCCCCGAAAGATCATGGTAGTGTGCCCAAAACAGCTGGAAGGTAAGAGCACCTTATGGGGGAGTTTTGTTTCGTCATTATGGCCAGCTCATGTATCTCCTGTAGCCCTACATGTTGACCCATCCATAAGTCCCACAGGAAAGGGATGAAGGGCTGGTGTGCTAGACTAGGATGGAACCCCATTTCTGCCACTGTCCTATCACAGGACCACTCTCTTGCATGCATCCTAAATGATGGACAGGTTTTGCCTACATTGGTCTCATTAAAACATGTGTCTTATTTCCCTTATTATTCTCTTCTACAGTCCTTGTGGATTGGGCATGCCCCCTTGCCACAGCTGCTGCTTGCTGAGTATGTCTGGAGCCCTCTACCAGTTCAGGTGCTGGCCTCCCATGGAATAGGTGAGCTATGGACTTATCTGAATAGAACTTTGAACCCAGAGGGATCCTCAGGCTTGAGGATTGTCATGATTTTATTGCTATCTGTATTATAATTTCTACTATTACTGTATATTACTAGTCTGGTTACAGTGTTCTAGCTTTCTTGCACAGGGACCAATGCGGAAGATTTGGGGCACATAAATTGTGATGCAAGAGTTCTGGAGGGGTGAGTAATAGGGTAAATGAAGTTTTCACCCAGAATATCCTGTCTGGCCTTTGTCTATTTGCATATCAATGGATGTTTACCACTGCAGAGCCTCTGGTGGAGCCCAGGGGTAAGGAGTGGAGAGAAAACAGCCATTCTCTCCTCCCCTCTACTCCTGGTACATAATTGGTCTGTGGTACCTGCCCATCACCAGGGACCCACCCATGGAGTTCCTCCTGGAAGGGGTGGGCAGGAGGGTGCTGTGTGCCTCTGCAGAAGTGACAGGAGTGAGGCTAGCTAGCTGAGCCTAGTGAGAGACTGAGTTGTGAGCAATAAAACCCTTCTTCCCAACCTGCCCTTTCCCTTGTTTTCCTTTGGTTTCATCAGATTAATAGAAAACTTGCCCCAGGCTGGGAATCTCCTTATTCCTGAAGCTACATTGACAGAGGCCATTAAGCAGAAGAGCTCATATTCTAAGCTAGGTTCAGTTACAGAGAAAAAATTTTGATTAATTTTCTAACTTTATAAATGACCATGTTGGAATACTAAATCCACCTCCTATATTATCAGGCTTGAGGATACCTCAAATTGTAGTTCTTCTTGGTTAATCTGAAAGCCGCCATCATGTGAAATGACATTCAAAACTAGAAGAACAAGGAAGGAAAGTTTTTTTAATTCATTCAACTGTCACAAAATTTAAAATAGGTACAGGTATTGTTAACATGGGTAGTTTAGAAAGCTACATTGAAAATGTCTTTCTCTAATAGGGCATATTAGCTTAAGCAGATTAAATTTATTTTCTTTATATCTTAATTTAAAAATAAACTTAAAAATAGAGCGTAAGGTGTTAGTTATCATGTACAAATTATTTTGAAACCTATTATGTTTAAAGAGTAGAAAAAACTAGAAATTTTCTTTTATAAACTGTAAATGAAATTATGAAGTATAATTATAAGAATGGCCTTTTGAATATGCAAATTACATTCAAATACTTTTCTATAATTGGCATTTGGTTCAGCCCTGTCTTCAGCTGAGCATAGTGGGTATTCCCTACAATCTGCAAGTTTAAGCATTTTTATTCATAGCTGCATTTCTGAGTCATGGATTAAAGCTGATTGTATTACCGCATAAGCCATTTGAAGTGTTAGCCATAATAGGTCATGCTAATTCATAATAGGACTATTAACATTAGATATAACAAGATTATTAATATCTGGTTTTCTACCAGCTACACTCTCACTGAATCTTAGGCACGTAGTAAAGTGAGGAAAAAATGGACTTGAGATACCTTTTTGATGTTATTGCTTTGAAATCATTAAACCCTAAGAGTGAATATTTAAACACCATGTCTTCAATAATTAACATTTTGTTTCTGCTCCTAAAAATTTGACTCAATGGAGCCATGAGGAGCATTTTTATCTTAAAAGGGACAAGTTAAGTTTTGACTTGTTGCCATGGATATAGCATATGACCTTCAATGAGAAAAAAAAATGTCAGTCTATATTGATTAGTATTCTTTTAAGAGCTGGAATATTTGCCTTACACAGTTATACTTTAAGTTTAGTTACAGAATATTAATAAAGAAATTTACAGATAGAAAAATGAATAAAAATTTTTATGCACTTTAAAAATATGTTACCTAATAAAAAATGATTGTTACCTTATGCATAAAGGAGAAAACTGAGTAAAATATCTGAAGCATTGAACATATAACAACATTATTGTAAATGCCAATATTTATGACATTATGAAGGCAGTGGTAAAAAAGTACGCTGTAACAAAGTTTGAAACAATCACTTAAAATATCTTAACAATTTTAAAATCATTGTAAATTCAAGTGTTTTTCTTCTTCTAAATTTTTACTTGATATGATAGTGAAGGGTGTATGTTTATAAACAGGCATCCATGAGTACAGTATATCTTACACACAAAATATTCAGTCTTCCACGATTCTTCTGTAAACATAACTATTGTCTATCTACTGCTATCAATTGTAGGGTTGGAAGGCACTTTGAAACAAATGACTGATTAAAAAAAAAGAAAATGCATCTTTCATTCAGACAGAACGCTGACAGTGAATGCTGGTTGTTAAGAATTCAAAGGATTTGCTAATCCTTATGTCCCATAATTTTTGCAGGCAGTCTGTGCTCTACATTGCTCTATGGCCATATTAATCTTTCATTCCAATGCGTTTTCTTAGTTCAGCTGCGGTTTTTTCCAGTTGTTCAATGTTCCATTGCCATTGTCTTCTGTTTGACTGAAGTTTGTTCACCTGACAGCGCAAACGCTTAAGAATTGCACCATATCTCTTATGTTGTACCTATTAAATCAAGAATACATGTCAACAGGGCTTGAGGACAAACACTAAATAGCCATAAAAGATATTTTGACTCTTCTAAAAAGGAAAGCACTTGACTAGAAATTATTCACTTAACAATTATAATAAAAATAAACAGCAATTGTAATTATTTATTCAACACTTATTACATGTTAGATACTGTGCTGAGAGATTTTTACATACAATTAAATTCTCCTAACACTTTATTATATAGATATCATTATCCCCATTTTTTTTAAAGTGAAGGTCAAAGGGTTTAAGTGATTGGACAAAGATCTCACAGGTAGCAACTGAAGATGTTTGGGATTTGAACCCAAGTGAAGCATCTGTGATGGAGTGCCTTCTTAGATAAGCAGTTATCAGTTAGAGAAATAGTTTCATTTCCTATATCCAGTAGTTCATTGAAACATAGGGCGACTGACCTAAAAGATCTAGGAGATTATGTAGTCCATTTCTTTGCTATTAAGTAGATCAGAATATTTATGCTGAGACAGACAATGATACACTGGAAGGCAATGAAGCACAGTGCAAAAAGGGCAAGGGCAAGGGGTTTGGTATCTGACCACAAGAAAAGAAAAAAAGTAAAAATTTCTGATATTATTGTGGTTATACAAAGAACACCTAATTTTTAACAACTTTATTGAGATATAATTACCATAGCATACAATCCATCTTTTAAAGTGTGAAATTCAGTGGTTTTTATTATATTCACAGAATTGTGCAACCATCACCACAATCAATTTTAAAACATTTTCTTTACCCCACAAAATGAAATTTTGTCCATTCGGAATGACTGTCCGTTCCCCCACTCCCATCCTTAGCATTAGGCAACCACTAATCTACTTTCTCTTCATATAGATTTGCCAATTCTGGACATTTCATATAAATGGAATCATACAATATGTGGTCTTTTATGACTGCCTTCTTTCACTTAGCATAATGTTTTTAAAGGTCGTTCATGTTTTAGAACTTCATTCCTTTTACTTGCCAAAGATTCCATTGTGTGATAGATACATTTATCCAATTCATTACTTCATGGACAATTGAGTTGCTTTCACTTTCTGGCTATTACGAACAATGCTGCTATGAACATTCATGTGCAAGTTTTTGTGTGGACGTATGCTTTCACTTCTCTAGGGCATATAGCTAAGAGTGGAACTCCTGGATCATAAGGTAACTCTATGTTTACCCATTTGAGGCACTGCCAGACTGTTTTCCAAAGTGCACCACTTTCACATGCCCATGATTACTGCATGACAGTTCCAATCTCCTCTCTGCTTTTCCCCTAGCAAAGGTTATCTTCTCTCTTTTCCAGCTCCTTTCTTAATTCAGGGCTTCTTTACCTTTATTATGCCATGAATCTTTTTGACAGTATTGTGACGACTATGGACTCCTTTTTAAAATAATGTTTCTAAATGAATATAACATACAGAATTAGAAAGGAAACCAATTATACTGAAATGCAGTTGTGCAGCATGAGCAGGAGAAATGGTTCAGAGGCACTCTAAGCATTCCAAACAACTGCTGTACAAAAAAAGTGAAAACTTGCCAACAAATGCTTTACAAAAATTGCCATAAACTTCATACACTGTTTAAAGCTTTCAGTTTTTGTTAATTCCGAAATTCAGATAATTCTTTCTACAAATTCAGATAATTTGTTAAAATTGGTGAAGTAGGCCTACTGATATGTTGGCAAAATAGAAAAATGACTTTAAAAGGATTAGAAATAAATTAGTTAAAACTGAAATGTTACCATATTAGATAATGATGTTATACTCAAAAGATTTTTTCATATTTTTTTGATACATTTTATATATCTTTTATACATTGAATACACACACACACACACACACAATTAACATATCAATTGATATCCAATAAATGTTTGATAGAATTCACCAGTGATGCCATGTCAGTCTGAAGCTTTCCTAAGGGGGAGGATTTTAATTATGAATTCAATTTCATTGATTCTTGCCTCATACCTCTGGGCAAGGATGTATCAATATATGTCCATAGATTGTAATAAATGTACCATTCTGGTGGGGGATATTGATAGTGTGGGAGGCTATGGGTGGACAGAAAACATATGAAAACCGTACTTTTTGCTCAGTTTTGCTGAGAGTCTAAAACTGCTGAAAAAATAAATCCATATTAAAAATCAATTACTGTTCTCATCACTGTTCTTATGTATTTAATGTGACTTTGCTTCTGGCTGCTTTTAAGAACTTTTTTCTTTATATTTGGTATTCAGAAGCTTGACTATAATTTCCTTTTCTGTATTTATCCTGCTTAGGGTTTGCTAAGTTTATTGAATCTATGAGCTGTTTTGTTAGTCAAGTTTGGAAAAGTTTTACTCAGTATTTCTTCAAATAATTTTCTGTTCCTTTTTCTTTCTCCTTTCCTTTGGGACCCTAGTTACCCATATGTCACATTGCTTAACATGGTCCCATAGATCATTGAGGCTCCATGCATTTTCTTCAGTTTTTTTCCTTTTTACTCTGTACACTTGCTTTGATGACTTCTACCACCTGTCTTCAAGTTCAAGAAAGATCTTGCCTTCTGTTTTATCTAATCTGCTGTTAATTCCGCCCACCAAAATTTTATTATTTTATTTTCAGTTCTCAGATTTCCATTTTGTTCTTTCATATGATTAAAATTCCCTCCATCTATTACATCCATCTCTTTCTGTGGAATATTTAACATATTTGTCATAATTTTCAGTCCATATCTAAGAACTTCTGAGTCTACTGTGATTTGGTTTTTATTAATTATTAGTATAGGTAATATTTTTCTATTTCTTCACATGTCTAAAAATGTTTAATTATTAACTGAATGTTTCCAAATATGATTTCCAAAGATAATGTATTCCTATTGAAATGCAAACCATCTTTAAAAGATTGGGAGAGTAGTGTCCAACAGACCTGGATTCATACCCTACTCTGTCACTTATCATCAGCCATAAACTTTGTACAAGTTATTTACATTTTCTGAAATTCTGCAAAATATGTTATTATGAAGATTTAAATGAGATAGCTCATATAAAGAGCTTTAAAAATTACCAGGCACTCAATAAACAACAATAGATTTAATGATACTGAACTTTCTTATACTTCTTATAAGAGAGAATAATTTATTACCATGTTATCTAGCTATCTGAATAAATCTTATCCTGCCTCTAGGTCACCTTTTAGCCTTGTTTTAGTTTTTCTCATAGGACTGGTTTTCTAGTTGTGCAATCACTTCTGTGGCTGACATCAATAAATGAATGAGCCAGTTAATTGTGTAAGCAGCATGTTATACTGTACCAAGTTAAACATATTTTGCTCCTGATCTCCACTATCTCTGAAAACCCTCTAAATTTTCCCCTATCCTTTTAAATTTAGAGCTCAGCTTGTATAAAATTTAGGCAAGAATAACTGTCAATGAACCTCAAAATATTTTATACAATGTCTGTTATCATAAAATACTGCTTGCAGTACTCATCATTTGCTAAAAATCTAACTGCTCTAGTTTCTCTTTCCTGAAAATTCTTGGATTTGGCAAATAACATTTTTTTAACCTTGAACTAAAAAGCACTGATGGTTGCTTAATGCTTTGTATCTGAGGCTTTGTGCGTGTATGCTTTGTATTTTGCTTTCCCAATTTTTTTGTCAATGACTCATAGCTTATCTTTATTCTCCTCTTTCTTATCTTTAGTTCCTTTCTTCTAAAACATATAAAGACAGACAATAGGTGGGAATAAAGGTATTTTGCAATAAATATTTGGAAATACTTGTTTCATTTATATATGGCCTAAAAATATCAAAAACATTTATTTGATTTAAAAAATATGAAATTCAAAAATGATTTTCATTTTCCTGAACTAAAAGAAATGTAAAAAGCAACATTAATATCAAAACTAAAGCATGAAAAGAGGAGGTTGCCTGAAAGCATTACAGAATAGAACAAAAGAATGCTGTAATCCAGGCAAAAGATGACCATGAACTGTACCAAGGCCATGGCTAAAAACATTCAGAAGGAGTAAAAAAAAAAGACGAAAAGAAGAACAAGAAAACTGTTTTGCAAAATAGATTATTCACACCAGTGATTGATTCTCATCAAGCAATAAAAAATTGTTGGACAAAAATATAACATTCTCAAGACAATGTTGTAGCTATATTTTTCTTTCAGTTTTATAATTTATCATAGATAATCTTTAATTTCTTTGCTTTTCTATTTTCCAACTGTATATTGTGAAAGAATTGAAGACAACTTTTGAATGTATTAGACGTAACAGAACTAAAATTAAAAAGTCTAAAAGAATCTTAACAGAGGTATTCCTATTATGAAAGCTTAATAACATCTCATTAAATTTCAGGGAAAAAAGTTTACTGATGAAAAAAATTAAAAATAAATTCTCAAGCTGAATTATATTCCATCTAAATCTAAAATTAGTGGCTACTTATATCACCCTTTACCATTAAAAACACCCATTTTCAATTCTGCTTCTGTGAAGATAAAAGTGGGTATACTTTATATACATATATATATATTCCTACTGCTAAGTACAACTAAAACCCATGGACATTATATTTACATAGTTATAAAACAAAAATAAGAATCATCTGACAGGTGGAGCAAAGAAGGCAAACTGAGTAGGGACCTCAGAACCCAAGGAACAACATGCAGTGAGTTTTCATTTTGCCTCATATGCCCCAGACTGGACACTGGAGAGGAAAGCATCCTAGAAATACCAGTAGGTACAAACAAAATAAGCTCCAGGAAAAGTCTGCTCTCTAGTCAAAGAACCTGGAAAAGAGGAGACTAGCAAGACCGAAAACTTTTTGGTAGTCACTACTCTACTAAAGTCAAATACTACAGAAAAAACTAGGCCTCCTCCACCATCACACCAGCAAAGGCTGAGAGGAAAGCCTAAAATCCCACCCTTGCTAAGTGATAACAAAGTACTCCAATCCCTTTGCTAGGGTGGTGTCAGAGAAGGCTAACTTGGCAGCCAGGGTTTCCATCCCCACTAGGAAGCAACAAATCACACTTTTTGGTACCAGTGAGGCTCATTCGGGGAGCTTCTGCTGCATTCTAGTGACAACAAAACACCCTTCCCCTTCTCACTGAGAGAAGGCCATCTGGAAAGTTAGAATTTCACCACTTAGTAGTAATAAGGTCACATCTATTTGGTGTCTATAGAGGCCACAGGGGGAGCACCAACAAGATACCCTGTCTTGACCAGCAGAAGTCTAATGGACAACCAGAACTCCCACTTCTGGGAGTAACAAGAAACCCTTCCTCCCTCCATGAGTGTCAATGGAGACTGAATAAAGAATTCTTATTTCCAACACCAACTGGAAGTAACAATCATCCAGAGTCTCAAAACATAGTATTCAACATTTCAATAGAAAAATCACTCATCAAAACAAGAACCCAGATGATCTCAAACTGAGTAAGAAATAGTAATCAACATGCACGAACATCAAGAGCCTAAACACCAACACCAAGAGCCCCAGGGACCTGTGGGACTATAACAAAAAAGACCTATCATTTGTGTAATCAGAGTCCTGAAAGGAAAAGAGAAAGAGGGTACAGTTGAAAAACTATTCAAATAAATAAGAGCTGAAAATATGCCAAACTTGGCAGAAGATATAAACCTACAGAATCAAGTAGCATAGAGTATTCACAATAGGATGAATCCAAAGAAATTTATGCCATAACACATCACAGTAAACCTGAAAAGTGGACAGAAATGTTGAAAGCAGCAAGAAACAAACACCTTATCTACAGAGAGAAAAACAATTTGAATGACAGAGGATTTCTTATCAGAAATCATGGAAGCCACAAAGAAGTGGCACAGCATTTTTCAACTATAGAAAGAACTGTTGACTCAAATTCTATACTCAGCAAAAATAATCTTCAGGAATGAAGAAAAATCAGGACATCCTCAGATGAAAAATAAACTATAAAAAGAAAACAATAGACCTTTGTCATCAATAGACCTATCCTAAAAGAATATATTTATAAGTTTTCTAAAGAAAAAGGAAATGATAAAAGAAGGAATCTTAGAGAATCAAAAAGGGAGAAAGCATATAGTAGAGCAAAAATATAGGCAAACAAAATAGACAAATGGAAAGGTTAAAGCTAAAAGTTATGGGATTTCTTTTTTAGGTGATGAACATTTCTAGAATTAACTATAGCAATGGTTATAAATTATCTGTGAATATACTAATACCATTGAATTATGTACTTTCAGTGAGTGAATTGTATGGTATATGAATTCTGTCTCAATTAGTTGTTTTAAAATTCAGAATAATGGTTGCCTAAGGAAAAGAGCACAAGAGAACTTCCTGGTCATTATGGGAAAGTTTCATATCTTGATCTAGGTGATGGTCCTAGATTAATTAATAAATTGATGAATTAATTGTTTTTATGCATTAATCATAAATCAAGCTAACCCATTATAATTTGTGTACTTATTCTTACAACTTACTAGATATCTCAAATGCCTTTCCAAAATGTTTTTTTTATCAATTTACACTCATACCAATACTATGTAAGAATTCAAGTATTTTCACATCTTACCGACCTGGTAATTTGATGGGCTAAATATTGGACCTCATTGTGGTTTTAAATATCAGTCTGTTATTGTTAATTAGGTTAGTCATCTTTTCCACATTTTTTTGGATATCCATCTTTCAAAAAATTAGTCTTTTCATGCCATTAGCCAATGTTTTACTGGTTTGTTTGACATTTTTCTTATCTCCTAGGCATTTATGTAAGTTAGAAATATCTTCTCTCAAAATGAGTCATCTTCTCTATTGGTATGGTGCATTTTGATAATCTAGATTATATGATATTGTCAAAAGTAATATTTAATCATGCAGTTTGTGTGTGTATATCTATATGTGTGTCTTTTAGAAGAAATACTTCTCTGACACAAATAGCTAAGTTCATCTATATTTTCAGTCCCCCTGGAAGTGTGTGTATGTGTGGGTTATGAGGTAGGAAGCCAATGCCATTTCCAAATTTGTTTTATTTTTCCATATGACTAACCTAATTTTTCGGTACCATTTATGATGGATTATTTCTGGATTCTTTTTTCTCTGTTTCATTAATCATTTTATGAATATTTTGATGTTACTTATGTTTTGTCTTACTATTTTTAGTTTTATAATAAATCTTGATCTAGAAGGGCAAAAAAATGTCATTTAGATTACTAGTAAAATATAAGAGAAAATGGTGTTTCTTAAAGTGAATGTTTAGTGAAGGTAAGCATTTTTATCTTTAAATTCCTTAGATGCTTTTTTATTGTGTCAACTTAGTCACAAGCAAGTTGAAAACATGCATCTTTTTGCCACTCAAATTAACGTCCTAAGAGTGAAACTTATTTATTTGACCTCAACATTTTTTGCTACTTTTGTTCTCTATCCATCTAAACAATAATGAGTATAGAAGTCTACCAGCAGTACCCCAAATTTAGTCTCACATTCAGTTTTGCATATCAGCTTGTTTGACTATTGATAACAGCAAAAATGAAGTTAGAAAGGTTTAGATAGGCATTAGAAAGATAATGCCTTCCATTATCTTTTACTCTATTTTGAGGAGTTTCTGATGCCTTTCTAGGAATGAACAACCTTTTTGACTTTGATAGACTCCACTTTCTAGCCATTAATTGGGTACCAAATTCTTGGTGGAATTAGACTTGTATGAATTCTGGGCCACATTATAACAGGAATGAATGCTCAGTTTAAATATATTCACATATTTAAATATATCTGAATGATGTTATCGCTATTAAAGATTTGGACTTCACTATTTTTTATAGCTCCTTTTTGTTCTCTAGCTATTTTAGGAATTGATAATAAACTATGGAAATTATGAAGGTAGTGTAAGCTTAAGAAATGACCCCAACAGTGAAATCCAGATAACTGACTTACCTCTATTTCTTTTCTTAATTTTTCATGGGTATTTTTTTCTTCCTCAAGAAAACAAGTTTTTTCAATGATAGATTCTTTTACAGTTATAATTTGAGCCTTTAGCTTTGTAATGTCTTCCTGTATGTTTATGAAATTTAAAATACACAAGTCAAACAATGAATGGTCAAATAAATCTAAGATTTTCAGTGATTCTATAATTTAACTAACCATCACATTTAATTTTGGTACATAGTATTAGAATATTACTTCTATAGTACAAAGTACAAAGAATAAAGAACGTTTATACAAACAATCAGCCTTTGATTTAAAAACTTAGAACTAAAGACCAAATGAAAAAATAAAACATAAAGGAAAGTGGCAGTAATAGTGACAATTACCTAGCAACAGTGCAAAGGATACTTTTAAATTTTTGAACAAGGAATCATATTTTAAGTTTGTATCTCCCACTACCTTCAAAGAATAGTAAAAGAAATAGAAAGATGCCTAAGGTGCAATTATTAATTTATATTGTTTGTATAACATAATCATGCATACTATTGATTTGAATTGGTCTGGATCCATTAGAAACTAGGGCTTCAATATTTTTGTGAGTTACACTTTCTGCAACAAATGGGTTAATTGTTCACTCTGATTTTGTTTGACTGTTTATTTTAATTAATCTACAGGGGATTTAGGGACATTCCCCTTATGCATTTGCACTTTTGGCATAGTTGTTACATAACTCATGTACTTAACCAAGTTTTTAAGTCATGAAAATGTTTCTGAATCTAGTTAGAGCAGCTATGGGTATTTTATTAAGTTAATGATAAATATCAGTAAGTATACTCGTAGAAAAAGGAGTAATAGAAAAAGTTTGGTAAGTGATATTTCAAACCTGTACTTGTCTCATCTGGTTTCCTTCTGGATTTTGGAAATCTTGTGTAAGTTCCTCTTTCATTGTCATTAGTTTTTTAACAAGATCTCGTTTTTCATGGAGTTCAGTCATGAATGACCATTTGCTTTCTATCTCCGCCAAACTATCTTTATGTACTTTCATTTTTGCATAATATTCATTATATCTTAGCATATGTTCCTCAAAGTCTTCTTGGGCTGCTTCTATGTCAAATTTAAGCTTTACATTTTCTGTATGTAAAGATTTGACTTGAGTTTCCAGGTTTTCACACTGAAGCTTGGTATTTTCTATGGCAGCATCTTGTTGATAAATTTGCCTTTCTCTTTCTTTAGTTTCTGCAGAAACAGATGCTATTTGTTTTTCAAGCTCATGAAGTTCATTCTGTAAAATATTTCAAGATTATTATCATGATATTCAACATGAGAGCAACATCAGTTTTGATCCATGGTACATGTAGGAAAATCACAACATAAAAAATACATACTTAACAGATACAGAAAAATTGATGTATAACAGAAGGAAACATGCAATAAAGCAACAAAATTATAAGCTCAGAGGGAGCCCAGAGTCAAAGGTTTCTTACTTTTTAATGTTCATCTAATTCCAGATATTAAAATTTTATCATTTGCCTTAACATTTTATATGTAAAAGATACTTTAATTTTAACATTTATGGACATCAAAAGTACACACTGAAGAAAGACAATATGATAAAAATTATAAAGCCCTAGATTAAAAATCAAAAGATCTAGGTTCTAGTGCTATTTACTAGTTGGTATGATCATACATAGCAAACTTAATTACCCTATCCAAACCTTTCTTTATTTGTAAAATGAGTATAAAGATGTCTACATTTTCTGTGGTATTTGGTGTTTCTAACCAGCACCTCCTTTTTAAAACCTAGTTTTCACACTATCATTCTTCTTTTGTTCTTCTTAGATATATCTGGACATTCCTTCCCAATCTCAATAGTTTCTTCAAATATAGATCTTTCTCAGGGTGCAGTTGTAAGTTCCTCCTTTCATTCTATACATACTCCTTGGGTAGCTTATCAGTCCTCACATCTTGAGCTACATATATGCTAATTCACGGAACATAAGTGGCTATTGAGTCCTATACCCAGCTACCACTGGCCATCTCAAATTTATCATGTCCAGAAATTAGACTAGCCTTACACCCTATGCCATCATATTCTTCCTATATCAGTTACTCTATTGTCAGAACCAAAAAATCTTAGTGACATACAACAATAAATGTTTATTGCTCACAGGACAGAGCAGCTAGGGTTAGTTAGATGTTGACCTTGGTTAGATTTGCCCAAATGTCTGGGAGTTGGCTGGCTGTAAGATGATTTAGTTTGGCTGACTGGACTGCCTGCGATGTCCTGGCTTTGCTTCATATGTATCTTTTCCTCCAGTGGGGCAGTCAAGGCATGTCCTTCTCATGATGATAGCAAATGCAAAAGAACAGCAGCTCAATTATGGAGGAGCTTTTTCAAGTTTCTGCCTGAATAACATCTGTTGACATCCCAGCTGGTCACATGATGAGGCTCAGACAAGGGGGAGAAGTATGCACACCCACTAAGGAAGGGCATTGTAATGATACATGTCAAAAGGTGTGGATATACACAAGGATGAAGACTTGGGACCAAAAATGCAAATTATTATACCTCTATTTTCCCAAACTAATTAACTAATGGTAATACTTAGGGATCCTTCCTTTATTTTTTGGACTTTTTTTTTTAAGTGTATTTTCTTATTGTAGTTGATATGCAATATTATATTGATCAAGTATATAACACAGTGATTCAGCAGTTACACACATTAAATCCTCACCCCAACTAGTGCAGTTAGTATTTGTCAACACAGAAAGATGTTACAGAATCATTGACTAAAGGGAACCATTCTTTATTCTCTCTTATCTATATTATCTATAGCTCTTTATTATCCATATATGTTCGTCCAATTCTATAGATCCTCCCACCAAAACAACTTTGCAGGCCATTCTCCATCTTTTTTTCTTTCTATCTAGTATAGTCATCTTCTTTAAATAAATTTATAATTGTGGGAGGGAGGCACTGCACTAAAAAGGCAAACTCAGTCTCCTGGAGAGACGAGAGGAAAGTATACTGAAAAACACAATATGCTGATGAACCTCAATCTTTATTTCCAGCTCTGATATTTCAAATGTCCACTTGACATTTCTATTTGGTTACCTAATAGACATTTCAACTATACATGTTCAGAGAAGAATATTTATTTTACACACCCACTCAAATTTCTCCTCTCCCAGTCTTCCTGATTTCAATAAAACACACGTCTTTTCACCTGGATACTACAAAACACTGTAAGTCAATTTTGTTTTTTCCCTTTACCTCACCCTTCTCAATGTACTTAACCAACATATTTTGATAGCTGGCCTTCCAAAATAAAACCACAAATTCACTTCTAATCAATTTTTGTAGCATGGTCTAGCTTCTACCTGGTCTCTCTGTTTCCATTCTTCCCCTTACCCCTCAACTAGGCTCCATATATTGGACAGAAGAATCTTTTACAAACAAATCATACTATGTTACTTCCCTGCTCAAGATCCTCCAATGTTTTCCATCACAGTAATAATAAAATTCAAAATTCCTTAATGTGGTTTACAAGGCCATAAATGCTCTAGTCTCTATCTATTGTGCCATCCTTCTTATGTGTTACTCTCCCCTCTTCCAGCTTCCTACTTATTAAATATGCCTAGTTCCTTCCTACCTGAGGGCATTTGTAATAGTTCTCTGAATCTTAGAATTCTCTATCCCTAGCTATAACCTGTCAAGGTCTTTGTCTTTTACAGTTTAGCTTTATTACTCTTTTGAATAGTCTTCCCTGAATTAAAATATAAATTAACCACCCATCCTCCTCCTCCAGTTACTCTCCACACATTATCTTATTGTATTTCCCTTGCAACTCACTAACCAATGGAATTACCTTCTTTCTGTTTCCTTATTGCCTGCCTTCTCTGACTAGTAAGCAAGCCCACGGGTGCAGTAACCTTGTCCATCTTCTTTACAACTATCTTCCCAGTGCTTAAAATAATGCCTGGTACAAAGTAGGTACTCAATAAGTATTTATTAAATGTGTGAGTGGTGCACAAGGACACATGCCCTGCCAGCCAGATCAAGCTATTGACCCTATCAATCAATATGGGCATAAATGACATTCCCACTGGTTTGGTCATCATCTCTTCTTTCTTGGACTAATAAAATAGACTTTTAACTTTTCTCTGTGTCTTTAGTCAATTCCCCCTTCAATGCATTTCTACCCTTTCACTAAAATTGTGTATCTTGTTGCTTTTCTCCTCTTCCTCCCTCTTTCTTCTTCCTTCTCCTCTTTCTCCTGTCCCTCTTCTTCTCTCTTTTGTTTATAGATTTATTGATATAAACAGTACACATTTAAACTTTACAATTTGATGAGTTTTGACTTTTATGTACACGAGACCATTACAATTGAAATAAATGTATCCTTTACCCATAAAAGTTTCCTCGACTGCTTTTCAATCCATTCTTCCCTCGCCATTTCTCCATTTACAGGTAACCATCATTTGCTGTCTGTCACTAAAGTTTGCAATTTCAAGAATTTTATGTAACACAATATTTTTGCCAAATTTACCCCTAAGTATTTCATAGTTTTGGTGCCACTGCAAATAATATTTTTTTAGTTTTCACTTCTGATCGTTTCTTTCAATATACAGAAATACAATTTTTATATATTAGTCTTATATCCTACAATCTTTCTAAACTCACTTATTAGTCCTAATAGCTTTTTAAAAATAGATGCCTTAAGATTTTCTAAAGATAATCATGACATTTGTTAATAAAAAGTTTTACTTCCTCCTTTTGAATCTGGATACCTTCATTTACTTTTCTTGCATGATTTCACTGGCTTGAACCAGCAGTACCACAGAATGAATAGAAGTGGCAAGGGCACATGCCTTGTTCCTTATCTTAGGAGAGAAACATTCAGTCTTTCAACATTATGAATAAGCTGACTGTAGGATTCATGTAGGGATGTAGATGCCGTTTTTTAGATTGAGGACGTTCTCTTATATTTCCAATTTGTTGAGAGTTTCTAACATGAGTGGATATTGAATGACAAGTGATTTTTATATATCTAGAATTCTCTTTCTAAAGCATAAATTCATTCATTTGCTCCCTTGCTTACAGCCCATCAAAACCTTCCCATCACCTTTAGAATAAAGTCCAGATTACTTATTGCGGGTAAAATTGCAGTATTTCCAGAATCTCTCGCCTGGCTTTAGGGCATCTGCATATCAATAGATGTTTCAAAGGGTGGAGAAGTGGTCCATCTACATATCAAAAGGTAATTACAAGGGTGTGGGAGGGTTTATCTGGACCAGAGAGGTTGTGTGGAGCAATCTTATGCTGCACCCAGGGCAAGAGAGAGATGGGGATGACTGCTTGTATGAAAAGATAAAAAGGTTTCTTAACTTTATTTCTCCCTTTGACTGATTTTGGTTTTAGAGGTATTTTGCCCCAGCATTTTCCCCCCAGAGTTATACTTATCATGGTATATAGCTCCCACAACTTCTCAAAATATACTCTACACTATACCACCACCACACTACATATAGTTCTATGAATGTATCAATGCTATTTCTGGCCTCTGTGAATCATTTCACTTTTTTTGTCTGAAATATCATCTTTCTCGTCCCAACCATTAAACCTGTCTCAGACACCCAACCATTCAAGCAAACTCCAGCTGTCCTTTAAAACTCAAAGGAAACATCACTTTCTTTGCGATCACTCTTTGTTCAGTGTTAAATCTGTGTTTATGACTCTATTGTGGACACTACTACACAGAATGTAATTACTTGTTTACTGTTTTGTCTCCCTCTTCAATAGATGGTGACTAACTTAAGAGTGAGGACAATGCTTAGCAAAATGCTTAATAGCAAGTAGGGACTCAATATTAAGTGTAATAATACATGTGAAATTCTTGGAAGGATACGAAGTTTTACAGAAATTTTCTTTATAGATATCTAAGACATTTTTATATTCCATTGTAAAAATGTATTCTTTATAAAAGTGATTAACACAAGGCAAATATTTATAATAAATCCATAGTACCATGATGGTATAATTAAAGCCAATGTCAAATCTAGCCCTGTATTGCCCACCAAGGCTAGAGCAAGGACACCTTACATATATTGACAATTATTAATTCACTTAATCCTCATGAAACCTTATAAGCAGATCCTATTATTATCTCTATTTCACAAATATGAAAACAGAAGCACAGAGAAATTAAACCTTGGAACTAGAAGTTGCAGTTGGGCTCTAGAGCCTATTTTTTTCACTTCTGTATTTAATAATAACCTTTA